TTTTTTTTTTGGCTCGGTCGAACATAAGAAACTTTCTAGGTATTTTTTTAATTATTTTCTCTACTTTTATTTTTTTACCGTTTTGGCTCGGCAATCGGTTCCGAGGCCGACTTTAGGAACGACGGGTCAGGCTCAGTTGCTACGTCGTAGGACATGGGTGGTCGTCGTGGCAGTTGAGGACTTTGATTACGTGCCTCCTTTGGCGGGTCCGCTCGGGTTCCGGTGTGTCTTGGAGGCTGGCAAAATTCCTTTATCTGCCCATCTTGAAACGTGGACTAGGGAGTTCAACGTGCATGCGAGCTGGTGGGTAATTAGCCCACGAGGCGGAAAAAAACCTGGGTGGTGGGGGCCGTTGCGGGCGTACAGTCCGCCCCCCATCGTCTGTTGTGAGAGGGTTGTGTGTGAGCATGCCGCAGGGACCCGAAAACTGGTGTAATAAGCCTGAGTGGTATTGGTGCGAATACCTTTACAAGTGTATCCGCCCTCGTTTTTTGCAAGCGACATAATATAAGTTTGGTTTAAGGTTTAAGTATACCGCGCGAGGCACAACTGCGTCTGTGGTTTACGTTGACAGAATGGTTGAGTAGAGTAGAGAGTGTGTGGGCGCGCAGACTTAAGGCGCGCGTGATATCTTCTTTTGTTAATGATTGTGGAGCCGGCGTAGTTGCCGGTCAAGTTTTTATTCTTCTGATTAAACCAGGATTAAAAAGATTTTGTCTCTTGATTGGTGCATTTGCCTGTGACATGTGCGTACGTGTGGAGGATGACATCTATACAATGATTTTTTTGAAAAATGTTTCGATTGGTCTGTGTGTCGCGCATTATCGGTTTATTTAGGTGTCCGTCAAAGCTAGACCCAGCTTTGGGCCTAGTGTTATTGGTTACCGCGTCGGACTTTCAACAAAGAGATTCAAGGATCTAGATCGAGCGGCGACAACGCGAGGATATCTGAGTAGCGTGAAGGGACCGAGGGGTTGACGGCCCGACGGGTGTTTTTCCCTGGTTTTGTCATTGGTGGTGTCGAAATGGTATTAGCGATTTCTTTTTGTTTCGACCGTCGCTTTCTGACGATTAAAAGTTTCGAAATATTTTTATTATTTATTGTTGTATTATTATTATTTTGCTCTGGTGCTCCTTAACTCAGGCGTAACGCTGGATTTGGAGGTCGTCGCGACGGTCGAGGGCCTTGAGCACGGGCTTTTTCAGTTGACCTATGGGTTCCTTGTGTGTTCAGGATGCTGGGGAAGGTCTTTGGTCCCACCATCTTAAGACGCGGACCGAGGAAGGTGACGTGCATGCAAGCCGGTGGGTGGTTAGCCCCCGAAAGCAGGGAGCAGTGCATGGACTCCTGTGGGGTAGTATTGATCAATGAATTCCATTGCCCGCCGTTCGAAGGCCGCGTTTCTGATAGACAAGTTTCTCAGGAAGAATTCAAATTCCCATCCTGGTAATGTGATCCCTTGACTTGGGTCCGCTGGGTTCGCTGGTGAGAGGCCTACATCATTATTGTTCCTCAACAGAATGGCTGCTACCCCTTCCCCTCTAGACATCTTCCCCTGGTATTGTCCATGCTCAACTAATTGGCGGAGTTTTCTATGCTTGGTCCTTCCTCTGCTGACTGCATTTATAGCCCTTCCCCTCCCTGCGACAAGCCATCCGGGGGTGCCGGGGGGGGTTGGGGATGGGGAAGGCTCTCGAGGGGGGGGGTGAAACGGTGCCTGGGTAATGTGCATTACACTCTAGAATGTCTCATCCCAGGTCATGTGCGGCAGAGGGCCAGTTTGTAATATTGTTTTAAGCGACGGGCTGTTATCCAGCATATTGAAAAGCTGGATGTAGGTGGTGTCCCAGAATTCCTGGGTTCACTCATCATACCTGGCCCTCATGATCTCCAGCAGCGAAATCTGCCACCGCCCTCAACTTATGATCGACATCCATATCTGCAGGGGGCACCCCTTGGGCATCCTGCTGATCGTTTTCTGCCTTGACTACCTCCGGCGGTGGGGAGAGCAGAGACAGGAACTCTACCTCCATCGGTTGCGTTCCAAAAGCATCACTGAACGGGTCCCATTCCTCCTTCCCCTCTTTTCCTTCTACCCCTCCGGCCTTCTCTGTCCCATCCGGGCGGGGCCCATTACCCTTGAGATAATCCTGACGACTAGATTGGTCTACTCCCAATCCCTGCTTCTCGGTCCCTCCAGGTTGACCTCCCCCTGGGCCCTGTCTCTCCGTCCCCTTTTGCTGCCCCGGACCTGCCTTCCTTCCCTACCCCTCCTCATTCCCCTTAGTTGGATCCTGCCGTTCGTGCAGCTCCGACTTCTGCTGTACTCCTTGCAACTCTTGTTGCCCCTGTTGTCCCTGCTGCTCCTCCCATCCCGCCTGTGCTCCCTGGTCAAGCACTCCCTCTAAACGGGGGGCCTGGACGATCGGGCTTGGAACTGACAGAGCGAAATGGTGTACAATTTTTTCAGGATGGCCTCCCACGGTACTCCTGCCGGGGTGCCTTGGACCAGAATCCCCCTCAAGGTTGGACCGTCTTCCATTAACAAGGTAAGCTGCGCATGGGGCTGAGCCCAAAAATCTGTTGGGACATCCGTAAAGCCCAGCTGCAGGCCACTCACAATCCACTCAGCTATTCCTGAGATAGATATATTCCCGGGGTGCATCCTCAGATTTCCCTGGGGCAGGGGGGCTCCACTGGCCCAATCTCACTGGTTTGGGATAACAGCCCAATAGATCCACAGCAGCCCTTCCCTGCCTCCTCTGGGACCCCACCCGGGCCTCCTGTTCATCCTTCCTTTCTGCACCCTCCATTCGTCGCCCTAGCACATCAAAAATGTTCTGCGTAACCTTCTGCATGGTTTCTTGCTCCTTTTCTTGCCCCATGTCCGGCCTGTGCTCCTTCCTGTTCCCCCCACCCTGCCTTCTCTGCGTCCCCTGTATTTCCCACTGTCCGTCCCCAAGGTCGTGTTTTTCAGCCTACCGGTAGGCCTTAGGGTCAGGGCCCGGATCCCCTCCTTTCCGCTGGGCGGTGTCCTTGGTCATATGGACTCCATTGTTTTGGGTGGGACCCATGAGCAGGGGGGTTTGAAACTTTGAATCCCGATCTGGCGCACCCTTCTTATCCCATACCCAACCCATCACCTTGCCTCCCTCCCCCTCCTTGTCCACATACACCCACCCCTCATGGCCCGGGTCCACTGTATGCCAGTACGTGCTTCTGAGGGGGTCCCTCATCAGTCTTCCAGTCGCTCGGGCCTGATTTATCGGGTGGTGGGGGCACGTCGGGTCAGTGTAAAGATGGCCATATGCTTGACATTTAAAACACCACGGCCTTAACTTGTGGGCCGTGTGTACCTTAATCTCCCTATCTCCTATCCTAAAAGGGATTATATCGTCTACCGAAAAGGGCTTCCCCTCAGGGAGATTCAAAGCCAGCATAACGTAATAATTCTGTCGTGCCACGTGCGGGGGCAGGGGGTCGATAAAATCGAGAATGTTGTACTTCTCCCCAAAGTCTTGAACCAAAGCCGCCTGAGCTTCAATAGGGATATGGCGGAATTCTACTCGAAAAAAATCCGCCGTCATTTGTTCTCTCCTGTCCTCCGGCTTCTGCTGTTTTTTTGGGGGGGGGCATGGATAGATTCAAACTCTGATCTATCACAGATAATCGTCCACCATCTGTCCATAGTGTGTTTGTACGACTCATGCATTCAAATGACAGTAAAGGTTGTCGTGGAGCTCGGTTGCAATAAAAACAGGTCTTGTGCCTCTTCCATGTTGGGCCGAACCAGTCTACTTGTCAAAGGAGAGACTTGTCAAATTAAGGTGCTTCTTTCCAGAATGAGTGATTTGACACAGACTTAGGGCCTGAACAGCCTATAGCCCTTCTTGGGGGCAAGCAACATGCTTTGATGCAGTGGGCAACCCTACCCATCCTGCACCATCTCCACCCACTCCCTAGCTCAGGCATTCCCATTGCCAATCCAGGAGATCAAAGGGGAGACTGCAGGGGTGGGGTGGATATCACTGCAGGTATGGTCTAACATCTGAACATCCAGTCATGGTTGCAGTGGTTAAGGCATCTGGCTGTAGAGCCTGAGATTGCTGGGTTGATTCCTTGCAGGGTCAATCCGTCAAGTCGTACATAAACCAGATATCCAAAGACTCCAGGTAATGGAGATCCTAGAATTCTCCATCTTAGTCATTTCTTTGTTTGCTGATACGTCACTGTAGTAATCAGAACAACTGAAGAATCACCTGAGGCTTTGGTTGAAACTTGAAACCATACAACAATTCTCTATTGTGATGAATATGGTGGTTAATTGGAGCACAGCGATGGAAGGATGGTTACTAGTTTTGTGGGGAATGCAGCAACCATACATCATGTCTGTGAATTGGGAAGCAAGAGATGACAAAATAAGAGTGTTCAAAGTAAGATTGAATAACCGTTGCCCCCCACCCCTTCCGACCAGAGAGAGCGGCTCATCAACACAATCACCAATCACCTCTCCCAATGGAAAGGGATGTACACTTCCATCGTGGGGAAAGCATTGTCAATACATAACCAGTGTTTGCTCCAAGTCGGTATAAGGTCGATTTTTGGCAACTGCAGTTCAAACAACTAAAGAAACTCAAATGGGTTCTATTGCGTACCCATGGAAAAATGATCATGAACTACATAGATGTAGCAAAAGTGGCCTGACCCAGCTACATTGGCCAACCAAGATTACAAGGGGGGGAGCAATCTGACCCAACTACATTGCCCAACCAAGATTACAAGGGTGGGGGGGGATCTTAGACTTGAGCACTGAGATAAAGGTCTGCATTGTCATGTTTCTTATCACACTTCTCATGAGAAATGATACTCCAAGGGCTCCCTTGCTCACCTTCAAGTCCTGACTAGCCCCACCTATCTTGGTAAGGAGACTGGTCCACTCATTGGCCACAGTCACAGAGAGTTCCTATGTAGATACTATACGACAATGCACAGAAAACTGTCCGCTGTGGTTTTCACCAGATACCATCTCACTCCTCCCCCTCCCCCCATTCCCCCCTGGCCCCTTGTTGATCATCTCCTCCTACAACAGCAGTTCTGTCTGTCTGTCTGTCTGTCTGTCTGTCTCTCTCTCTCTCTCTCTCTCTCTCTCTCT